GCTGAGCTGCCAACAGGTAGCAGGATGGCTCAGCTAAAAAAAAAAAAGAACTACACGGAACTACTTTAGGGATTTGTGCTATAATTTTCTAACTGAAGAATAGTGTGAAGTTAAAATGCCTTATCTAGCCTTTTCTGGTATGCTGTTAGAAAACATTAGCTATGGTAACTGACCTGTCTGTCATACAAGCTTATTAGAAGTCAATCCTATCACTTGCTTTTAGTACATTATTTCAAGGTAAATGATTTTAAAGTCCCTCTCCTAAGACATGCTTTTGAAATAAGCTGTGGTTTCTATATATTTTTAAGAATGAGGAGCTTATGACCCTGGTTCATGGGCTGTTATTGTATAGATTAAAGGAGCTAAGGCCTATAAAATGGTTAATACAGTTTATTTTCTCCCTTAGTTCCACCTTTCTTTCCATCGCATTTTTCATTCTTTGTTCCTTAAATCCCATTGTTTCCTGAACACCTATGTACTAGCCCCATTCTCTGTTCTAAGAATCAGGTGAGGCACGTACTCATGTAAACTCCTGGTAGTTATCATGCAGGGAGAGTGTCAGCTTAGTGCTGCGTGGGTGAGACGCTTGAAAGGGGCTCAAAAGAGCGACTGTGGTTGCCTGCCAGGTCAGAGAAGCTGTGGCTTCTCACAGCCCTAAGAAACCAGCAACCCGAGCCGGCCGAGTGGCGCGATGGTTGGGAGCTCGCTTGGGATGCCAGAGGGCCCCGGTTCGGATCCCACATATGAGGGCCAGTGAACGCTGCCCTTCACAGCTAAGATGCTGAGCAACGGCTCAACCTGGAGCTGGGCTGCCGTGGGTCGCTGGTGACGGCGTGGGCTGCAGCCCATGTGGCGGTGGGTTGCCGTGGGCTACCGTGTGTAGTGAGCGGCCAGCGGCCGCAGTGAGCAGCGCAGTGACGGTGCCAACTTGGGCCAGTGGAGCAACGTCCTCCACAACTAGACTGAAGAACAAAACGACAGCGGCTTGTCTGTTCCCCTTCCCCCGACTCCCCAGCACTGTTCCCATCCCCCCAATTCCCCAATAAAAATCTTAAAAAAGAAAAGAAACCAGCAACCCTTTCACCCCAGTGTGCAGACAAAGAAGTGGGGGGAAGACATTCATTCATTTACTTATTCAGTAAATATTCATAGCTACCTACTAGTGCAAGGTGCTGAGTAAGAATATGAGTAAGTGCAGGGAAGTATAAGAGAGCATGGCTTACTTGGATAGCTGCAGGTAGGTTGGCATGGCTGGAGTTAAACAGTCACTCAGTTTGCCTTAAAACAGACATGACCGACCCAAACTTGAGTGGGATGAGGAAGAACTGTAAAGGGAAGTGATGTGTTGGTGAGAATTTGTCACTTCCTTCAGTATCGGTTAGGATGAACTAATAAGCCTGGTAACTTCCTTTAGGGAATTGCCAGGCTGACTAATCCATTACCTGAGGGCAATAGGTCCCCAACTTTGCTGTTCAACTAGCATCACCCAGGGAGTTAAACTCAGATGCCCACGGTTGCACCCCATACAGATTACATCAGACTGTCTGGGGATGGGAGCCAGGCATCAGCATTTTTAAAGATCCTCACGTGATTACAACTGGGCAGCAGAGTTCTGGAGTCACAGCCTTAGGGCATAGTCCAGTTTTGTTCATTTAAAACCCACTTATATTTTGGTTCTGGTTCCAAACATTCCTTAAATTGTTTTTGCTCTTTTCTTGGGTTGGGGGAGCTATGAACAGGAAGAGGATATGTTGTTACCCAATTAGGGGAACCTAGTCTGCTAAACCATTAGCGTAGGTTGCCAGGGCTGCACGCGGAGTGGATTTTTGCTTTGTCATTCTGACTCTGGCTGTCGGCCCGCCCACTCAGGGAAGGGCGTGGCTTCTTGTAGCCATTAGGAACCTGCAACCCATTTCCCTCTTTGCTTCAGTCCCGCATTGCATCTGAGCGGAAGGTGGTGGGGCGACTGAAGAAGAACCTGGTGTCCTGCAGCTCGTGTTCATGTAAGCTTTGGGTTAACGAGAACGGACAAAGCTCAGGGTGTTCAGGCTGTGAGCACGCTGGAAACGTGAGCATCCGCCTGCCGGGTGCGTGATAAATGCAGAGGGAGTGGAGATGTTTTAAAGGCGTGTCTGAGTAGGGGTGAGGCTTTTCTAAGGCAAGTGAGCTTCTTGGCGCGGCGTTCGTTGTTTTGCCCGGGTCAGTGAAAGCTTAGCCCGTGTTAGGTGACACCGGCACCCTGTCGGCTGGTGGTTTCCTTCCTCTAGCTCTTCTTTGTAGAGACAGTTTTCAGAATATCTGAGAAAATGGGTTTTTGTATCATTTGTTAGTGCACGGGTGTTGCTATCTAGATAATGTGAATAAATTGACCGATTCTCGAATAGCATTAAGAGTGTAACAATTTAAGGATGCCATTCAAGGAATTTGTACACTGTTGAATCCTCAGAAATGCTGAGAGGTTGGCCAATCATATGTATTATCATATTTACAAGTGGGGAAACTAAGACCCAGAATCATGACTTGCTAGGCAATTAAACGGGACAGCTAAGAGTGGGACCCGTGCTTTATCACACTATATCACAATACAGGGTAGCGGGATCAAGCAAGCGTACATCACGCTGCCGGAGTGTGAGTCCTGGCCCTGTTGTTGACTAACTAGCTGCTTGAAGTTGGGCAAGTTAGTTTTTCTTTGCCCGTTTCCCTATCTGTGAAATGGACCCGATAGGCTCCACTTGAAAAAGGTAGTTGTGAAGTTGTTTATGCAAAGCACTATAGAAGTGTTAGCTGGTATTGTCATTATTATTATCAAACAATTATCCTTTTGAGTGTTGGTGTGGCTTTTGTCTCATGAATGGGCCTGGTGTCAGTGTAACTGACTCATTCTGTGTTCACCCCTTTGTAAAACTGGACCGTATGCTCCCATATGGCATGTAGGGTGTTGCTGTATTGCTTCAAGCTTCTTAAATGTCATCCTAAATGGGCAGTGTTCTTAACTTTCCCCCATGGGTCCAAATTTCAGAGGAACCTTGGAAATTGGATTTTGGCATTGTGTATAGATGCAGACTTCAAAGGAAGATTAAGTTGGGAGGTGCTTTATAAAAGCTGAAATCATTGTGCCTTAAGCTTCCTTTTTGAGGCCTGCCTGAATTCTGGATTTCCTGGGAAAGCAGGGCGTTTAAGTTTAGCGAGACTTGCTGTGATTGGAGTCTGACCGGAACTCTGGCGTTAGTAGCTGGCCTCCAGGCCATGTTTCCAGCTTCTGTGCCCGTGTACCGGGTCCAGGATCCTAGCCCGGTTGCGGGCCTAGGTCACTGACTGTCAGGGCTGAGGCAGGTGGCGCTGTCCGGTGGGGAGGCGGTGGTGCGCGTCGCCTGAGGGCGCGCTGTTGGGGACGCGGAAGCCCCGCCCCGGCCGCGCACTTCCCGCCGCCGCCCCGCCGCCCCGCCGCGGAAAGCCTGGAAAGCCTGACCCGCTCCGGTTTCTGCTTCTTTGCCACAGAGGACGGGCGGGGCCTCGAGGGAGCGCTGTCCGAACTGACCTCGGAAACCGAAGTACCCGTTGTGTTTGTGAAAAAGAGAAAGATAGGCGGCTATGGTGCAACTCTGAAGGTAGGTTGCTTCTTTCGCCCGCTTGAGCTGGGAGTGAGGCCCTGGAGCTTACCGTGGTCGCAGCCTTCCTTTCAAAACCAGGGTGCATGTGAACGAACCTCTAAACGGAGCCCACGCTTAGAGAACGACAAAGAGACACACGGGCTAGCTCACGTCTAATCGATGTTGAGACGTTGGGTAAATTTCAGAACTGGGCAAAGGAATATGTATGTAACTATTTTCACCTTTTAAAATACGTTTTAAAAAGTGTCCATTTCCTCCTATTGTCCCTCCTCTTTCTCTCCCAGTAAATCTAAATAATTTTGAGCAGCAGTGTAAACTGCTGAACGTATTGTTTAGGGAAGTACTAACAAAAGGGAATCAGGGAATCAGGAAGCTTATCTTATTCGTCCCTATCATTTTCCTCTTTAATTTTCTGGGAGGGAAACCCACAAACCTCTGGCTCAGGGGAGAGCAACCAGGAAGCTCCTTTGAGTTTATTTCTCTTCAGGTGCCTCTTTTCTAGCCCAGACTTAACAGGCAGAGGAAAAAGAGAGAAATAAATCTTTCCTTTGGTTGGTGGCAAGCGTGGTGGCACTCCTATCTTGGGACCATCCTCTGAGGGGTGGATGGGTCATGGCCTAAAGTACTGGCAAAATGCTTGGAGGCTGGGTGCATGTAGTTTAAGGGGACATGCGACATGGATGATGTTCTACATCAGGTGTGGTTGGTTACCAGGTTAGAAATCCTCATAATCCGGTCCTCACCTTGATGCATCTGCTGTAATTTTTGCTGATTATCTTTTTGTCCTTGTCTATTTGTATCTGTATAATTTCTAAGAAGTAGAACTCAGGCTTGAACGTTGCCTTCTGAGAAAGTAAACATGAGGCCTCAGTTAAATGTAAAATCTATTTAGATGTGTGTGCCTTTAGGAAGGATATTAACAATTTGCATTTTTATTTACTACTTCTAAGAGAATCTTATTTGTGTTTTTGAAAAAGGGATGTACGAAATGAAGATAGACTTCAAAAACAAATAGCAAATTAATGGGGAATGATTAAAGAGATAAAAAGGCTTTGGCTTGATTTAAAATATGTTGTGTTGAGAGAGGAGGTTCAAGATGGCGAAATAGAAAAAAAATATGTATTGTGTTACTCAGACCTTTAGTTTGCAAGGAAAATGAGACAAAAGTCTATCAATGTTTCTTCCTGTCTGATTGTGTTGTTTGGTCCACCTGTGTCAAATTTGCACTTAAAAAGTTATATAGGCATTTGATCTTTGTATAAATTCTACAGATGGTCCTGGTCTTAACATCAATGGGAGTAAAAAGAATTACTGATTTTATAAGCTTTGGGCCCATTTTACTGATATAATCTGATGTATTCAATTCCACGTAATCATAGCTAATTTCATTTAGGGAGCTACAATGCTATGAATGAAAAGCACACCACCAACTCATAATGAAATCATTTAGTACATCTCTTTTAAGTAAACTTACCACTCTACTTTGTATCATTTGATTTATTATTATTATTATTTATTATTATTTTTTAAAAAAGATTTTTATTGGGGAATTGGGGGGATGGGAACAGTGCTGGGGGAATTGGGGGAAGGGGAACAGACTAGTTGCTGTCGTTTTGTTCTTCAATCTAGTTGTGGAGGATGTTGCTTCACTGGCCCAAGTTGGCACCATCATTGCGCTCTTCCCTGGCGAGGCAGATCAGTCGCCGGCTTCTGGACGGCCGCTCACTGCGGCTGCTGGCCGCTCACGCTGGCTGCTGGCTACATACGGTAGCCCATGGCAACTCACTGCCACAGGGACTGCAGCCTACGCCGTCGCCGGCAACTCATGGCAGCCCAGCTCCAGGTTGAGCTGTTGTTCAGCATCTTAGCTGTGGAGGGCAGTGTCACTGGCCCTCATATGTGGGATCCTAACCGGGGCCCTCTGGCATCCCAAGCGAGTTCTAACCATTGCGCCACTCGGCCGGCCCAATTTATTATTATTTTTAATGTATTAAGAAATGGAGGAAGGGATGCAACAAGGTAAGGACACTAGTTTGAAACATCTGTGAATTTCCAGCCCATTGTTGCCCACATTTGGGGCTAGATGGTGAGTTCTGAAAATCTTTAGGGAACATTGGGTTTGAGTGGAGAAAGGCATTTATTTAGTGGAGAATGGAGTGATTATAGGATTAGTGTTATAATCCTAAAGTCCACACCTTAAAAAAAAAGCTTATGTTTTCGTACTTTAATTGCAACATAAATAATGGAGAGGGAGCTTTTTAAAATGTCTGCTTTTCCTTCTCTTAATATTGTTTTTTCCTTTGCCTCCTTTCCTCTCAATAAATAATATCAACAACTGCAGAACTTACCATTCTTTCATTGTACTTTAAAAGACAAGGGAATGAGAATCCTCCTGGAAGGAACTGATAAGCTTAGATGATTAACGTTTAAAAGAAGTGTGTTTTAAAAAACTGCAGCCTACGGACCACCTGCACAGAATCCTCTGGAAGTGTTTTTGGAACGTACATGCCTGGGCTTTACCTGAGGTCTTGTTAAGTAAACCTTCTGGAAGGGGTTAGGATCCGTCTTTATGTTTTTTTTACACAAGCCTTCCTCAGGTAATTCTTATGATACATATCAAGTTTGAGACTGACTTTAAAGTATAAGGTAGTTTGGTCAGGATCAGTTGCTAAATTAGAAGTGGGGAAAACAAAGGACTGCTCTTTAATACCCAAAATATAATAGAAGATAGCAAATGGTAACTCAACAGGCGAGTAACACTGTACCTGAATAGAACAATAGGGAACTATGCTATCTGTGGTTAGCACTTGTATGTCCATGTGGAAAATTGGAAATAGGGAGCGACTAAGTTCTGAGAACTATGACTAGAGTTCTAATTGCTCAAAGACATCTGGCTTTCATGAACATTTTAGCTCTGCAGGGCAAGATTGCAAGTATTCTCATAGGAACCTGTCTTTTATGTAAATCAGCGTCTCCAGGATTCCAGAATTTTGAAACCACTTGTATTAAGAGGAAAAGCAAAGTGAATGAAAAAGTGCATATTGGACTATTAAGTGCTGGACATAGTTAAGACTGTAGGAGTTTGAGATAATAGCCTTGGGAGATAAGACTAAAACTGGCAACATGGGACTTAATTTCTTCAAGGCAATAATACTTACCAGGGCCTGATTGTTTCCCCACATATGTGCCTACTTTTGCCCAGGTTGTCTCAGGTACTCATTTCCTGTTGCCTACCATTTCACAGTCTGGAACTGGCCTTCACTTTTGACCTCCTTCCCCTTCCAGTCCATCTGCTGTCAGAGTTATCGTTCTAATTGCTTCTTAGCTGCCTCAGATCTGCATCCAGGATAAAGTGCACATTCCTTAGTTTGGCATTCTGTGTCCTCAAAGGTCTGGGCCCCACCTACGTTTCTGGTTATCTTCTCTGCTCCTTCACCTCCAGGAAGCTGCTGGGAAATTCTGTTACAGCTTTAGTCCCTAAAATTTCCCTTCTTCATTCTGTTCTGAATTTCAGTTCCTGACTTCCTGCTCAAACCCACTTTTCTAACTGCCTGTTTTGGAGTATCCGGCCAGGTTTGCCTCCTCTGTACTCCCATAAATCATCTGAAAAGGAGGAATCCTGCCAATGAATTTTTTTTGGCTGACATATAAAAAGTGGAGAGTTAGTCTTATTCTTCGTGCCTGTGATTCCAGGTCTATCTCAGATAGAACTCAGCAAATACTTAAGACATGCCTATTAATGAGACTAGCTACTGTTTATTGGATGTCTCCTATGTGCTAGACTCTAAATGCTGTAAAACTAGTTGTTTAAATCCTCAGTAGTCTTATGAAGGAGGTGATATTATCCAGCTTTACAGGTGAGAAAATTGAGGCCCTGAGAATTTAAGGAGTATGTCCAGACTACACAGCTAGTTAAGTGGCAGAACCAGGAATAGAACCTAGGCCTCTCTACACAGTTCACTGTGGTGTACTCACACTCCTGGCACCTGGGCTTTGTGTTGTTGCAGTTGGGGGGTACATACCTGATCTCCCAGTGTGATGGTGTGCTCATGATTCAGGGCTGAGCCCATGCAAATCTTGGTATTCCTAGCATAGCTCAGGCAAATTGGAATTCATTCATTAGATGCTTGCCGAGTAGAACTGCATTCCTCTGTGCCTACTAAATTGTATGTTCCATTAGGACAAAAATGATTTATTTTTATATCTTCTGGTGTTTTTTTTTCACACCTATGCATTCAGTTAATATTTGTTGAATGAATGGATGATAGTAGAACAAGAGGAGATTCACGTAAGTGAGGTATTTAGCTACAAGGTGTCTGATTTTTGTGAAGGTGAACTGTCCGTCAGAGACCAGCACATAAAGCGGTTCAGAATTTTAAAGAGCTGTAATATAGTGTACAACACTATAATAATAGTGTTGGGCAGTCTGTGCAGATGTGTCCAGATCAGTTGAGAAGAAAGTCACGTTATGCTCATCTAGCTTCTATTTATTGAGCACCTATATTCTTGAAATTGAGCTAAGCCCTCTCTTTGTTACCTCAAACACAAGTCTGTAGGGCAATGTATTAATATATGTTTTAAAATACATTTGTCAACAAATGTTGGTGATTTTTCTTACCAAGAGGTACAACCATTCTATATGGCAGAGAAGACATACAATAGACTCCTTTTACAAATGAGGAAACTTGAACTCCTTTTGATCGGAACCCAGGCCTCCAGAGCTGATGCCTTCCAGGCTGCCTCCTTTAAAAGCCACATCCCAATGCTTTCCTACCCCTTGTCTGTCAAAAGGATGCTCCTGGTCACCTCTGAGTTCTGAGGTGTCCTCCCAGGAGAGGTGATAATTGCCTTGTGACCTGAAGCATTGTATTCTCATCTCACGCCCTTGTTTACATTAGTTCTTGAGGCTTGGCAAGTCGGGCAGCGCTGGGTTTTCTGGTGTCAGTAAAGTGTGTGACTTTTGACCACAGAGCAAGGATGAAGGTTTTGTATACACTCGGAAATATTTCAGTGACTGGCTCCAAATGATTTTGTAGGACTTGATTGTCATTTTATCTTTTATTTCACTAACAATAAAGCAATCTTATTTGAATAGAATAGTCATTCAAAGCCTCTTTTGGACACTGGGTTTTTAAAGAATCGGCTGAAATCCAAGGAGCCATTTCAGGAGAAAAATGTGCACATGGAATTTTGTATATAGTCTCAGACTTTTTAAAATTATGTGGACCTGCTTTAGAATATCTAGTAGAGAGTTTTATTCTTCAAACTACTCTACACACTTTCATTAGTTGAAGCTTTAGGTTTTAAAATTTTATTATATGGCAAGTTTCACTGGTATTTGTTATAGTGAAATATATTCCTGTATTCCTCCTTATGAATGTAACCTTTAAAATATTTTTCTGTTCCTAAAACATCCAAGAGTAAAGCCTACTGGTTTGTGTGTATATTTTTCTATTTGGTGTCTAATGTTTATTGAACATTTGCTATCTTTGGGATAATTTAAGATTTATTAAGAACCTACTCAACAGTTGATGAAAATATTGTCAAATCTATTGCATAATTTTCATTCAATGCATACAGTAACTTTGATATAAGTAGTAGTAGTCCCATCTTACAAAGGAGGAAACTGGAACACTAATGGCTAGTAAGTCAAGATTGGAACCAGGTTTGCCTCCACTGGCCATAGTCTTTTCAGAAACTCATTTGAAAAACACAGATATCTACCTTAATCATAGCAAAGTTTACCTTTAATACTAAAAAACCAAACAAAGCAAAAATGTACACACACAAATATAACCTTACAGGAAATTAAGATGAAAAAATATACCTAACATCCTGCTACTTTGATAAATCAAACTAGGACTTTTACAGTGTCTCTTCACAACTCAATATTAAATACGCAGATACCCTGGAAAGGTGAGGGGAGAAAAACTGCTGTGAAAGAAGGCACAAGAAAGTTTAGGAGGTACCTTAACAGCAGGATAAGTCTCTCAGAGTGTGGGACTCCTACCTGACTTGTTCCTGGCTTTGACGCAGAAGTCTTTAAGAGAGTAAAACACCTATTTGTTTTAGATTAATCCTGCAGGAGAAAGAGAGAGAGAGAGACTGACCTGTGATCTGTGACATCCATCCCATCATGTTTGAGTTGAGCGCTGGGGGTTCTGGGAAAGAGCTCAAGAATGCTTGGAATGAATGAATCTGAACTGCTGGCAAAGGGACTGAAAAATAATACAGGAGGAAAAACTGAAGAAAGGAAATGGAGAGCCTTATTTAGCCCTTGGCAGCAGCTCCTGGAAGAGGACGAAGTGGAGGAGTGGAGCTAAATTATGTTGGAGGCCAAGCTGTGTGCCATTGGTTGCCTGAAGTAGTCTTATTGCATGAAGAAGGTAGACTTATAGTGATTTCTTTGAAGTAATAGTGCACTTATGCTTTCTGTTAGAAGTCATAGAGAAGTTTAGAAGTATAACTGAAATTGTGTGTTGCTGTTCCTTCTTTAAGCTGCATTTATTATAATTACTACTAGTAATTTGACCTTAGGTTAGAAAGCTACCCTTTAGTGATTTAAAGATGCACGAGTATAGAAACCCCATTCTTTAAATGATTAGGGAAAATCAATAGACTTCAGATTTTTATTTTGAGGTGACATCTGAACCTTGCACTCTAAAGACTGGTTTAAGAAGGCAGAATATGCAAATGTGGCTCCTCTGAGGATGATAGAAGTTACATGTTACGAAGGTTCTTAGGGACAGGCATGTAGCATAGAATGAACTCAGCACAGAAATCACAACTTAATAATATGCTTGTCTTGATGTGTTCTGTTGCTTCAAGCAAGTTGTGTGGGCTGTAATCTCCTGAGAAATCCCTGTAAGCAGTATTAGTAATACTTTATAAGTAGGTTAGAAGAATTATTTTTCTGAAGCGTTTTGAAATTCTTAGATGAAAGGCTCTGTGTGGAGCAAATTGGTATCAGCCTGTTTTCCCTCTTCTGAGCCAGGAGAAAATAGGCACCTTAGGGTGGGAAGGTTGGCTTATCTTTTGGAGTTCTCTTATGAATTGCTCTTGTTGAATTTGAAGTGGATATCAGAAGCTCCTAAGGATATGGTTAACTATAAATGCAAACTCTTTGGCATTTGGGATTAACTCTTTTCATCTAAGATTTAAAACAGGTTTAAATATTAGTTTGTGATTGTCCAGACTTGGGGGTGAGGAGGAATGTGGCCCTTTGATGATCCTGGATCCCAACTTTGTTTTTTTCTCTATTTTGTCAAAGGGATAAGGTTGACTTTCCAAAAAGTAGTCACCTTTTATTTTCATTGTGTAGGATCTCTCAAACTAATCGGTGAAATTTTTTTGCTGCCAAATAACATGCAGGAGGTGATGGGACAGTTTTAAAAAAATGTACATTCATTTATACATTCAAATGTGCATACTCGAATCCATGTGAAAACAGCTTTTGCTTAGAAGATTGAAACCAAGTTTTTGCTTTAGAGAAGCTAACAGTCTAACAGGGCAGGATAATAGGTATATATGCACAAGTAACCATAATGCATGGTGTTTTTGAAAAATACATGTTTCTTCCTGAATTACACCTACTTAAAGAAATAATGGTGGATGATACTAATATAAATATTTTGGAATAACAGGTTTTGCTGTTGATGCATTTGCAAGAAACTTTCTGTTAATGTCAAAGAAAAAAGAACCAGTCTAGATGCATAGGAAGGAAGGTAGGGCTAATTTGCTTCCTGGTGCCTTGAAACCAGAGCTGACAAGTCAAATGTGGAGTGATCTCTCCCTCTCCCTCTCCTCCCTCTCCCCTTCCTTCTCCCCTCTCCCCTTCCCCCGCTCCCCCCCTTCCCCCATCTCCTTTAAAAGGAACACCTGTTGCAGTGGTTAAAAACTTTTGATCTTGTGGGTTGAGGGTGCATATTCTCTTTAAAATCAAAATGTATTCCATTCCAGTGTTACCTGGACTTTGCTGCCTGTGTGAGTGCTAAGCTGAGCCCTTTCTCCAACTGGAGGAGAATTCCCAGTGAACTAGTGGGTGAATTTTCCAGTGTAGATTAGTCACCTGATTTACAGCATTTGCTTTCATATCCTTATAACAGATTGTGTTTCAAATCTTCATAGCTTTGCTCACCTTTTAGGATTCAGATTTACTCTGTGGCCTTTAGCCTTTGGCAAGCTTCCAAATAAACAGCTCTTTTGAGATTATACCTATTTTATTTGTTCACCTTTGGGTGGTGGAGAACCAAAGCTCGCTTGAGTAATAAATAGTACCCTCCCCACCTTCGAGCTTGCTCTAGCACTGACACTGGCACACGAGTGACGCTCCCACCCCCCCATAGAGTAGCTTGGACGGGGATTGCGCTTTTGAGGGCACACAAAGTAATTGACACAATTTATATTTGTATGTTGAAGAATTGACTTCCAAACAACCAGCTAGTAAATGAACCCCTTAGAGTTAGTGGCCTGTTTGTAATGGAAGTTCTGCCTGACACGATCCTTGGCCCTACGGGCAGTTTATAATCTAGCCCAATTTAGTTCTCAAAAAAAAAAAAAGACGCCACGTTTTAATCATAGTAAGAATGAGAAACGAAGTTCGACTTAACTGCAGTATGTCACAGCAAGTTTTAAAAGCGCGGGACCTTTAGTTTCCCCACAATTTTGTCATAGATTGTCCAAGTGTTTCTTTGAAAGCTAGATGATACTGTCAGTTAACACTAAAAGAACAGCTATCACTTAAACGGGGTTTTGAGTGTGGGGTTCGGGCCGATTATTGCTTGCGTTCTGTGCGCCGCGTGCTTTTTTGCGAACGCACGGCACGGGGCCTGGGCTCCCCGTGGCGGCGCTGTCAGGAGGTGGGGCGAGCTGGGGGCGTGGCCTCGGGGCGGTGTCTCCAGTGCGCATGGGCCGACGTCTTCCTCCGCTCTGACTGACACCTTCATTTTCCGCCGCTGTCCGAAACCGTTGCGAAGGCCGTTAGCTGAGCGCTACTACCTGAGGTCCGCCGGTTGCCGACATGTCTGACAAAAAACATTCCCTGAGGGGAGGCATAGAGGAAGGAGAGGAGCGCGTGGTGAACATCACCAAGAGAGCGTCCTCGGTGAAGCAGGCGGAGGAGGCGGCAGAACTGATGAAGGTGGAAGTGGTGAAGGGGGCCGATGGCTGCTCTGAAGGCTGCTCTGACGACCTCAACTGTGGAGACGCCGACATCGATCCGAATCTCCTAGGGCTTGAGGCCGACGAGGAAAAGTGTCGGAATATCCGCAAGCAGTACTGGCAGCTCATCAGTAACGTCCAGCAGAACCGTGAAGACATAGTGAACACGACGAACAGCTCGTTAAACGAGGCCCTTGAAGAAGCCAATACCCTGTTTGATGAAGTGAGCCGAACGAGGGAAGCGGCTCTCGACGCCCAGTTTCTTGTTCTGGCTTCCGATTTGGGTAAAGAAAAGGCACAGCAGCTGAACTCTGATATGCGCTGCTTTAATCAAGTAGCCTTTTGTGACTTGCTCTGTATATTTGTGGGACTAAACTTGATGGAAGAGAATGAACATGACGAGTCGAGTGGTTGTGATGCTAATATAGCGCTTTCCTTCTGGGAGACGATACAGAAGGAAGCAACATCCTGGACATTTCAAGCTGAGACGTTCCACTTTATTTTTGGTTCGTTCAAGGTGGAGCCTTCTGCGCGAAAGTCCCGGCGTGAACACCAGAAAACTCACAGAATGGAAGATAATAGGGCTATGCCTATAAAGCTGAGGAAGTTGGACCTGAGTAATAACCAAGAAGGGACAGAGAAAGAAGTAGAAAGAATCCTGGGACTGCTGCAAATGTACTTTCGAAAGTATCCTGATACTCCCATGTCCTATTTTGAGTTTGTGATTGATCCAAACTCTTTTTCTCGTACTGTGGAGAATATATTTTATGTTTCTTTCATTATAAGGGATGGTTTTGCAAGAATAAGGCTTGACCAAGACAGGCTGCCAATATTAGAGCCAATTAATAACCAGATGAGTGAGGGAAATGATTCCAGTTCCTATGGCAGGAAACAAGGAGTTATATCTTTGAGTTTACAGGACTGGAGAAATATTGTGGCGACTTTTGAAATTTCAGAGGCTATGATCACAGACTCATGTTAAATATTTTTGTTGTTAGTATAGGATGCATCTTGTGGCTTTTCTAAAGTATCTCAAAATGGAGCGTGAAATCCAAACAGAAGCACATATCGTTATCTCTTGTAAAGTGAAAAAGTATTTTCAAGAACGTCAGAAATTGTTTTACTGTGCAGTATAATTTTCTTGGTAGTTTATAAGGTTGTCAAGACCTTCCGTTATTAAAAAAAATTTACTGGCATTGTTCATGGACAAATTTTTTCAAATGTCCTTTAAGACTGTTAATAAAAATCTGAATTTCATAAGGTAAAAGGTATTTGATAATTTGTAAAAAAAAGTTAGTTCTGGTGCCCTGTGATAACTGTGTTCCTCTGTTACATGGAACCAAGGGAATCCCATATGGGGCTCCTAACCAGGTTGGGAAAGAGTGGGTGAAAAAATGGTAAAGAAAGACCATCCATAGGGCAATGAATATGCAACATTAATACTGTACAAAAAAATTAAGTTACCTTGCTTCATTGCAGAGAGGATTCAGATTAATGCGTGGGTGTCCATATTCTAAATAATTTCTCCTGTGATTAGACTCAACAAAAGTAGAGCATCTACTGTAGTAGAGGAGGCATCAGCTAAGTGCTGAAAAGTCAGTAGGAATTGGTCAAATATAGGAACGCTATTCTAGGCAGGGGATATGGAGGCCAAATATAGGGATTGTGAGAAGTTATGGCACCAGAGAACCACAAAATTTTTTGAAAGCTATTCCATTTGAATGTTAAACTGGGCAAAAACTGAATTACCTTGTGTGTTAGTCTCCTCAGAGGTAGAAGATATTTTTGTCAGATTCTTTGAAACACAAAAATCTTTTAACCAGTTATATAATCTTTATCTACTTGGTTAATTTCTTTTCTGGCCCCTAGTTTTCCTTTGTAATTTCTGCTAGTACACAGACTGTCCTTCAGAATCAGCGTTGTTTTATTATGTAACAGGCTTGAATATTTGTTCCCAACTCAATTTTGTATTTCTTAATAGGGCTTTAAATGCCTGGAAACTGTCCCTGTTTAAACTGAAATATAAGATTAATTTATCTAAAAGACTTCACTTTGGATAAAGCCATAATTGCTTTTTTTTATTAATTGCAATTGTTTTAAAAATACAAATTATAGGCTTATTTTGGAGGTTATTGCCAAAAGTTTGGGTCCTTAAGAAAACAGTTTTTGAAGGTGCAGTGAGCATGCCTCTAAGTTTCTTTTCTTGATTGCTGTAGGAATTTAATCTTGCGTAGTAGTGGATTTTGCCATTAAACATTATTTGGCAAGTGGACAAGTGTTTTTTGTAGCAGTAATGATAAACTTTCCTACTAAGTCTAGCGTGCAGGGAGAGGAAATCCAGACTAAATGACATTAAGATTGAGAGGAGTGATCTTATGTGTGTGTGGGTCGGGGGAAGGTTCTTCAGTAATGGAGGTTTTTAGCAAAAATAGAATTGCTCATGCAACTTGGCCAATTATTTTCTAAAGTAGTCATTCCTTCCCCTTTCCGGTGTCTACTATCCTTTGATTTAGCAGTGGTGAAAGCATCTTTTGGCCTCTCAAGTTTCACTTTAGCATGTCTCTACCAGCTGAATTCCTTGGGTTTTCCAGAAATTTGCTGTTGGAGGAAAAGATACTCTTAATGATAGCAGAAAGATCTTGCCTCAGTTCTTAGGTGCCACCAGATTGCTCTGTTAAATGCCTAGTGTCTTTACTAGGAGTATGTGAAAGTTGGTGATAACTAAAAAGCATTACTAGAGCATGTAGAGGTTAGGGTCTTCTCTCAAGTTATGGCTGTTAAAATATAAATCATGTTGACCACTTGTTGTTTCTATTTTTACTGATTGTCATGACACCTGGGTTGCCTTATCACTTTGAAATGAAAACGACTGCTTACCTTGAATAAAAAAGGAGATTGACCAATAGATAATTATAGAGATTAGGTATGAACCAAACTGCAAACCTGGTTTCCCACTAATATAGTTAGAATGGTTTAAATTTCACAGCTTCAGTAAAATCAACTGAACTTAAGGAGAATAGTATGGAAAAAACATTTTTTTTTTCTGCTAGAACTTTGTTATATATAACTGGACCACTTTCTGATCAAAGGACCTGCCTGGGGTCAAATCATGACCCTCTAACCTTCTAGTTAGAGACTTTGGGCAAATTATTGAACCTGTAAACCGAATTTGCTAAGTGGGAATAATATCTACCTCTTAAGTATACAGAAGGATAAAATTAGAAAATGTATGTGACAAGTACTTTGAAATATGAATAACTGGGTATGGTATAGTGAGAAAAGCAAGAGATTTGTAATCATTTAGACCTGGGTTCCATTTTTGACTCATAGACAAGGTTCTTATCTCTAAGGGCCTCTATATTATCATTTTTTTAAATGGGAAAGATACCTGCTTGGAAGACTGTTGTGAGGATTAAATGGGAAGATGTAAACAAAACATCTACAACAGTATCTGGCTCATTGTGAGCACTCACGTTAGTGCCTCACTCTCTAGATCTGGGTCAGAAAAATCCATGCTGCCATCCCCTTCCATGGTGACACCTCTGTCATGGTTCATTCACTTTCCTTTAAGTCTAGACATAACTTCCTTTGTTCTGGGGAATCTATTACCAAGGGATTAGAACTGGCACTATGTTAATTTACGTAACTGTTTGAGTGCCCACTGTGCCAGGCACTGCTCTAGGCACTGAGGGGAAAGTGGTGGACAGAAAATGACCCAACTCTCATGGGGTTATATTTTTGTGGGTGTGTTAGTTTTCTATTGCTGCTTTAACATTACCATTTAGTGGCTTAAAACAACTTAATTTTACTACCTTTTACAGCCTGGAGTCTCCGGGGTAAAATCAAGGTGTCCACAAGCTCTGAGGGGAGCATCTGTTTTCTTGCCTTTTTTGGTTTTTGGAGGCTGTCTCTATTCCTGATTCACAGCCTCTTCCTCCATTTTCAGAGCTGACCGTGCAGCCTCTTTTGTCTTGTCTTCACACTTTTTACTGTAATGAACCCTCTGCCTCTCATATAAGGATACTTGTGATTAAGTTGGGCCCACTGGGATAATCCTGGAAAATCTCCCTGTCACCAGGTCCTTAAATCACATCTCCAAAGTCCCTTATACAAGTAATGTATTCACAGGTCCTAGGGATTCGCAGTTGGATGTTGGGGACCATTGTTTAGCTTATCACAGCAGGGAACAACAGTATTACTGTTAATGATGACTGCTCTGAGGAAAAACGGGCTTGAGTAGTGGTTGAGATGCTACCTCAGGGTGATAAGGGAAGGCCCTGGAAGGAGGTATTTGAAATGGAATCTGTTATAATTTGCCAGAATACTTGATACAGAGTAAATGTTATGTATTACCTTGGCTTCAGATATTTTAGGTGCATAATAGCCAAAGATCTAGATAATTAATTGATCATGGAAAAGCAATTCCCTGATTGTCCTCGGAGGAAGGTAATGCAGCAAGCACCTCTGTTTCCCTGAGCAGGAAGATGGTCCTTTGATTTGTGCTCACCTCAGTATTACTGTTTGGTACTCTCCACCTCGTACCACCCATCAACATTGACTCAAATTTCCTTCGGCCAGGAGTTGGGAACTTTTTTCCTGCAAAAAGCCAGATAATATTTTAAGCTTTGTGGGCCATATGACCTCTGTTGAAACTAGTCAACTGTGTTATTGTTGCAAAAACAACAGCTATAGACAATATTGAAGCAAATGGGCATGACTTTTCCCATAAAGCTTTATTTGAATTTCTGATATTTGAATTTCATACAATTTTCATGTATCATGAAGTATTACTTTGATTGATTTATTTTTTTGCCTTATGTTAATAACCATTTTCAACTCAGGGGCTGTAAAACAAAAGGCCTGTGGATTTGCCCCACAGGCTGTAGTTTGCCAGCTCGTGTCATAGGCCTAGAGCCCAATCTCTTCTAGAAAGTCTGTAGCATTTAAACCACCATGTAGCGTTCTTTCTTCCCTGGCCCATAGTCCTCCAGAGTACAAAGGGGCTTTTGAGATACAGTACCCCAGTATATGCTACAGCAAATAGCGGTCAGATTTCAAAGGGAACAAGCAGTTGGTAACGTGGTGGAGGTTATTTGTCTCTGCATACAAGGAACCCAGGCGGAATTTAAAGAACCTGTGCAAGTTCACACGTAAGTGGCAAAGTCAGGTTCAGATTTGGACTTACGTAAATCCAAGCTCGTAACCCACTGTGCTCTACTCTTGTACTTTTGTGTTTTTCCACACTTTTATTGTCGTGGGTGAGAAAACTGAACTGCAGCCCACCCTGTCGATATACCTAAGAAAGGAGGAGCTAGCACCCAAATGTTCGGTTCTAAAAATATTTTGGGACATCACATACATGCATAGTTGGCGGTGGTGATAACAGATGAAAGACAAGGTGCCTACCCTTGAAGAGTTGATGGGACTCTTGTGATGATGCCAGTGGGATCTCAGAGGAGGACCCAACTTGGGTACCGCTAAGTAAAGGCTTCCGGCTAAACCTTGAAGGACATGAAGGGGCAGGGGTGGAACAGCCTGTGGTAAGTGCCCTGGGAACGAGTGTTAATGGAGTTGCAAGAAAGAAAAGGAGAATGTTATTTGGGAACTTCAGGGAGACAGTGGAGGAAATGGAACTTAGGTTGGGGGTCTTGAAATGTTGGTAAAAGAAACCCTTTTAAACTCTACAGGAATGCTTTAGAAAGGGCAATGTGTTGGTGTATATACACTGGATAAAAATAATATAACATCCGTCAGTCTGTCTAGGTACTGGATCAGGATTTGATGGGCAAAGGGCATTTCAGGTCGGGGTTGGGGGTACAGTGCAGGGACGCGCAGGGGACATCTGTAAATACTCCACAGCTTTTTGACTTAGTCCCAGGCAGGTTCCCTTCTTTGGGTAGGGGAGAGTTGGCAACTTAAAGGGCTTTTTCTTCTCAGCTGCCGGGCTAATAGGTATTAATTAAACTGCAGTTTGGTGAGTTACGAGGTATGTTAACTTCATTTTACAAATGAAAAGACAGAGAGACTCCCCTAAGTATTAGGCAGTTAGCCCAAGTTTCACCTAGCTTAGAGAGTGGTAGAGCGAGTATTTTAACCCAGGCCAGTTCAACACCAGAATTCTTTCTTGTATAATGGTAAGAAAACCAAATACAAATCTGTGCCCAAGGATACAAATCATGATAGGGAGGGAAATAAAGATTACTTATTCTAATTTTAAATACGTCTGACACACTTGAATTGCTTTTGGCCTCTTTTGGGGGAAGTCTGACACAGTGTTTTATTGGGACAGGATGGGGGGTGCGGGGAGAAGGCATTGCTCTGAGGCAGATGGAAGAAAGGGAAGAATAGTGTAAGACCAGTAAACACCTTCAGGGGAGATGTTTGTGTATTTACACTTTTATGTCCTTAGCAGTGGTTTTCAAAGTGTGGTCAGGATTCCTCTGGGGACCCCAGAAGTCCCGAGTTCAAAATTACCTTCATAATACTAAGATACTGTTTGCCCTTTTCACTCTAATTCTCTTGCAAGTCTATCTAACATGGAATTTTCCTGGAGGCTACATGACAGGTGACGTTGCAACAACAGGTTAAACACAGAAAAGATATGAGCTGCCTTTTATTAACCTTCCATCACGCAAGTGATCTCACAGATTCATTGCACACAAAGATGCCGCTATGAAATACGTCTTTACTAAGTCACAAACAACTGGCGATAGGTTACGGTAGAGGGGGAAAATAGAGGGGGGACGATATGGGAGCGATGAGTCACAATACTTAAGTTAACTGTTAGATATTTGAAAATTTGTGTGCAATGAATCTGTGAGATCAGTTGCGCCCGAGGGTAGGTTAAGACAGACATTAAAGAATTACAAAGATATAACACAATGCCATTCTTCTTGCTAATTAAAAATACTTTAGGGCCGGCCGAGTGGCGCGATGGTTAAGAACTCGCTTGGGATGCCAGAGGGCCCCGGTTCGGATCCCACATATGAGGGCCAGTGACACTGCCCTCTGCAGCTAAGATGCTGAACAACAGCTCAACCTGGAGCTGGGCTGCCGTGGGTCGCCGGCGATGGCGTGGGCTGCAGCCCCTGAGGCAGTGGGTTGCCATGGGCTACCGTCTGTAGCCAGCAGCCAGCGTGAGCGGCCAGCAGCCGCAGTGAGCGGCCATCCAGAAGCCGGCGACTGATCTGCCTCACCCGGGAAGAGCGCAATGATGGTGCCAACTTGGGCCAGTGAAGCAATGTCCTCCACAACTAGACTGAAGAACAAAACGACAGCAACTTGTCTGTTCCCCCTCCCCCAATTCCCCAGCACTGTTCCCATCCCCCAATTCCCCAATAAAAATCTTTAAAAAAAAATACTTTAAATACATTGTTTAACAATAGGATATTTAATATTTCAATAATTTAAAATAGTAAAAACATTTTCTTAGTTTTACTTTCTAATATGCTAAATATTAATAAGTAAACCCCATTAACCAGAACTCTTTGGGGTCCTAAATAATTGAAGGTTGTTCGGGCGCTCCGAGACTACAAAGTTTGAGAACTCCTGTCAGCTACTATGATCAGCAGCCATATTTCTAGGAGTTGCAGTCGGAGGAGAAAGCGGGGGGCATTTTTCTCTTGTCTCTGTACCCCATCTATGTGTTCCTTCCTTACAATGTCTGGGGGAGCAGTCTTCTATTGTCTTACTTATATTTCAGGTGGAAAACCACTTACAGCTGCATGACAGCAATTTCAGTTTTAAGTTGGATTAAGATTTAAAGACATGTTCAGTTCTGGGCTCAGCTGAATGCTTCAGTTGCCTGTGTCTTACTGATTTTACACGGTTGAAAATGTTCAGACTCACTCAGAGCTTTCTTTGTTAGATCTGTGCACTGGTTAATATAATTTGACTTGAATGTTGAACCGTAAGAACCCAGGTGTGATACCGAATTTCAGTACAGAACAAAATGTTGTTGGAAGGGAGTATGTGGCTTTTCAGCATGACGATACTCGTTCTTTCTTTTGTTCCAGTAGATATGTTGGGGGAGGTACAATAGTCACAAGAACCGGCGGTTTTCTTTTAGGAAGACAGTGATTGTGTTCTGGCACCACCTGTGTTAAGTACGAGGTATGTGAAAAAATGCGGTGAATGTTTAAATTTAAAAAGTTTATTATAGTAAAAGACACATTGCCATTAACCCTCCTCAAAATACTCCTCCTCGCTTTGAACACACTTATCCCATCGTTCTTGCCACTTTCTGAAGCAGTTCTGGAAGTCCTCTTTCGTGAGTGTCTTTAGTTGCACTTGTCATGGCTGCCTCGATGTCCTGAATCGCTTCAAAACGTTTACCTTTCATGGTCATTTTGACGTTGGGGAAGAGGCAGAAGTTGCACAGTGCCAGATCCGGTGAATAAGGTGGATGGGGATACACCGTAATGTTTTTATTGGACAGAAATTTCCATACCTGAAGCTATGTGTGGCATGGCTCTGTTGAGATAAAAAACTACGGTGAAGGCTCTGCTGAGTGCCGTCCAGCGGGAAGGCAGAGATCTTCAGTATGGGAAGCGGCACATCCAACCTTAGTAACAGCGTGTGACAAGTTCCAGCTTGTTTGGTGCAGTTAGTTGGGGGTGTGAGCTTCAGTTGAGAGAAGGTGTGTTTTAAAGTGTGCCGTAAATCATCCTCATGACAATGCTCCGTGTCACACATCACTTCTGGTACGGCAACTTCTGTCAAATAAAAACATTACGGTGTGTCCTCATCCACCTTATTCACCGGATCTGGCACCGTGCGACTTCTGGCTCTTCCCCAAAGTCAAAATGATTCAGGACATGGAGGCAGCCGCGACGGCACAACTAAAGACACTCAGGAAACACGACTTCCAGAACTGCTTCAGAAAGTGGCAAGAATGATGGTTTAAGTGAGTTTGAAGTGAGGGGGAGTATTTTGAAGGGTATTGATGGCAACGTGTCTTTTACTATAATATATTTAAAAAAATTTAAACATTCACCGTATTGTTTGATCACAACTTGTATATGCAGGTGAAATGAGACTGAGATTAAAAAATGGTTATTTTCCAGAAGAACATCTAGCTGCATTTATTAATTCTTTCAAACCAGCAAGTCAGCCTTATGTTCTTTGAGGCCAACTTAGAGAGTAACGTGTTATCCGAAGCTCATATTGATCCTTTGATCTGAATGGCAATTATTACCATATTGTTTTTTACCCCCACAGTGCCTTGTATTGAAGGCGGAGCCTGTATCATAATGCCAGTTGATGGATACTGGCTCTGTTTACCAGCCTCTCATGTTAGACCTTTTGTGCAGCCGGTCAGGGTGATACAGCCTTGTCCCCACTGTTGCTGGTTTCCGGGTGCCCGCCCTTCAGTCCCTGCGCCATCATGTGTACCTGCCTTGCTGCCAAGGGGTAGCCACAGTGTGGCACTGCCTGCTCCACCTTCCTCCTCTGCACCCCCTTTTACATCCCAAGCATCCTGTTCTACTGACCGTAGGCTCTGCCCTTCATCCCCGACAGCTGATGGTAGGCAGGAGAAAAAGGTAATATTAAATATACCACCAAAACTGTTCAAAGCTACTATGAAATACAACTAGGGGAATGAAATATTTTCTTACAATTCGAAGTCTAACATTTATATTGTAAAGCCTGTTATGTGCCAAGTTACAAGGAAACTAATACTAAATAATAATAGGAGGCTTCGTGCACAAGTAGGTTAAAGAAATGAGTTTTACAGAGTTGTGCTTATTTATTTAGCATCCCCCTTCTGTTTTTTTCTGTGTGTGTGTTTATTTGTTTGATTTTTGCTTATTTAAAATGCCCTGCAAAAGCAGGGAGTTTTACGTTTAACTTTTCAAGGACGTGTATGTCAATTAATGATTTTGTTCTGAATTTCTAGATTTCATGCGTTACTTAAACAATGCAGAAAAGTCTTAAATATTTGGCTAATCTGTTTCCATTGCTGTTTACTGGGCTTCTATTTTAATCTGAGACCATAGCCCACTCATTATTCTACCTTTGACTGGAAAGGAAAGATAATTACCAAATTATAGTGATGGTTCTATTAAAAACATGCAGTACAAATGTTTTAAAACCTAATTTAGAACGTCGTTTAAAAATCCTAGGAAAAAAGGGCTGATGAAACGTAATTTAGTCCTAAGTTGATTTTGTTGGGCCATCAGGACCATACTGATGTGAAAGTACTGTATGCACACTTTAGAGCAGCTACCTGTGATGTGAGGAATGTCAAATATTTCCATTTATGTGCTATCATCTAAATCAAACCACATTTTTTTCCTTTGATACTCCCAAATGCTTTTCTTTAAAGAAAGGTTTTCTTATAAAACTTTCAGACATTGCTGCTTTTAAGTTAAATTATTTTCCCTCTCATTGTTTTTCTTTTTTAGGCTTTTCAAGAAGGCAGACTTCAAAAGCTACTAAAAATGAATGGCTCTGAAGATTTCCCGGAGTCCTACGACTATGACCTCATCATCATTGGAGGGGGCTCAGGAGGCCTGGCAGCTGCCAAGGCAAGGCTCCTTGTGTGTGATCTGGGTTATGACAGTTCTCTGGGTTCCCTGTCACAAGAGTGTCTGAGCCACTCTTCTGACATTTTGCACGTTAACTTGAGTGGAACATGTTGAGGGGACCACTTTATAGGTCATTTTTCTAGGTTGAACTCTTTGTTCTTTATATAAAAGTACTGGGCCCAGTGTTTGGGGACAGATTTTTATTCATTTTAAGTTTGGTTGCTTTTTCAAAGATAATAAGGGTGTTGTATGGAAATGGCTTGAAATTAAATAAATACATTTCTTGTTCTTTATAAATATTAAAATTTGTTTTTTTCACTATGATGATTTCCCTATTCACAACTCCTCCTCCCCCATAGAAAATTGGAGAACAGTTGGATTTCTTAAACTTAGTAAAAATAATTTGCCTCCTGTGTATATGAAGTGAGCTAAGAGAATAGCCTCCAACTCTGTGGCCTGGGGGTGATGGGGTAGAGGATGTATAAATAAAGGTTAGGAGTGAGGCTCCTGGCCATGAATCGAGATACATTTGCTATGTGTGAACGGGCCCTTGGACCTGTTATTCTTCTGGAGAGGTTCTTTTAAAAGATGAGGTGCTTATACTCCCCTAAGGTGTGGCTTATGGTGAATCGGTAACGGTAGATTCCAATGAAGCTGCCCAAATTGGGAGCAGGCCAGTATTTGGTATCAAGCAGTGCTTTGCTATAAATGACTGAAGACCAATACCAGGCATATGTATTTACTGTAATGATGGTGGTTTTGGAGGACACATAGACTCAGTCCTTTCAAATAACCTTTGGAGGTCTATTTGCCAATATATGAAGCTTATTCTCTGAGAAAGTTAAAGGATATCATGTAAAGTGAACCTTTGACTGTTGTCATCATTCTCCTAAAATAGATTTGGAAGCCTTATAGGTATCATCAACTTTTTCATTGGCCCCTCGCACATGAAAATTTTGGGAAATCTGACACTTTCAGAACAAAAACTTCTCTAATATTTTGCCTAGAAACTGAAATAAAACTTAAAAGTACTTTAAAAAATATTATAGGATACAGGCTGAATCAAGGGCTGTTTACTGTCAGTAAATCTGTTTTATAGGCTCCTTACCATTTGCTTAGAAATGGTCATACATTTCTCAGATTATTGCTTAATTTATTACTGTTTCAGTGGAATTATATAAGAGGATTCTGGGGTTTCCAGCTGATGGGCAATTTTACAACTGTAATCTTCATAGTTCTTAAAGCTACCCTTATGACTGTCATTCAGTTTTTATCTTGAAGTTGCACTAGTCATTTTGGTATATGAAATGTCCAGGTATTAATAACTGGTGATGCTTTAGGCATTATAGCTTAATAAAAATAGCATGGATTTTTAACAGCCTACTTCCAGATTATCATGTTAACCTTTCTAATTCATTTTAATAATTTTATTTTCCAGGAGGCAGCCAAGTATAACAAGAAGGTGATGGTCCTGGATTTTGTCACTCCAACCCCTCTTGGAACTAGATGGGGTAAGCTTTTAAAAGATTTTTGAAGTGATTTTGTAGGAGCAGGTTTTTCCCTGGTATGGGTATAAATGACCCCTAAAACCCAATTTAAAAATTCAAACAAATAAACAAACCAAAAACATGTACCTCTTTTACTTGGGCTAAGTTAAAGTGGACTCTAGTGAAATGTTGAAAATTTAGGTTCTTTGCCACAGAGTCAAGATAATACAAAACCTTATCCACAGTTGTTAAGATGATTTAAAGCTAAATATTTGAGTAATCTCGTATACTTGGGGGCTTAATAACCAAAAGTTTTAAACTCTCTTATCTGTGGATTTCTGTTTTAAATCTACCTCTTAACATTCAAAAGGAACTGGAAACAGATAGCTTAATGGCCCTTGGCTGCTTCTGAGTCTTGGTGGATTATATGTTCATTTTTCATTTATTCAACAAATATTTATTGAGCACTTACTATGAACCCGGGCCATGGGGACATAGCAGTGAGCATGGCAGACAGGATGTTGCTGCCCCTGTGGAGTTTACATTCTAGTGGGGAGATGAAAGATAAGCAAGAACTTTACAAATGGTGACAAGTGTTACTGAAAACATCATATGGTGTAATAGAGAGGAACTGGGTAAAGGAGAGTTCAGCTTTGAGAAGATTTATCAAGGAAGGCCTCTGAAGAGGTAGCACTTAGATGAGGGCAAAAGAAGAATGAGTCAACCGTGCCAAAAGCTGAGGAAGAACCTTTTTAGACACCTTTTCTGTCTTTCTCACAGAAGAGCACACACAAAGGCCTGAGGTAGGGAAGAATCCTTCATGGTTATGGCACGGGTGGTAGACTCCTGGAGGTAACGTTGAGAGGAAGGCAGTGTCAGACTGCCTTCAGGTGTTCAGGTCCTTGTAACCACGATGAGGAATTTAGATCTAATGAAAGCATAATGGACAGCCTTTGAGAAGCGGGAGTGATGTGATACATAGATTTTTTCAAGATGACTCGGCTGCGAGAAATAGGCAAGAAACAGGAAGTCTGGCTAAGACAGTATCACCATTTCTAATTCATCCATTGAGCAAATATTTATTAGTTGTGAGCTTTGTGTCGGGCACTGTTTTTGTGCTGGGAATAGCCTGTCTGGCCTGTGGAGCTTACACTCACAGTGACAGTCTGGTCGCATTCTCCTCAGAGGGCTTATGTTTCCTGAGCTGTGACGCCCACTGCCATCTCGCGCTCTTCTTCATGCCATTTTACTCACCTCCCCACCTGCCTACATTTTGTTCTAATGGAAGCAGCCATCACCATGTTTTTTGAGCTCAGACGTGCTAAACACACACACACACACACAACACACACACACACACACACACACATTTTTGTTTTGTTTTGTTTTTTTGTCATGAATCCTTTTGTGAGAATCAAGGAAAGCTGAAGACCAGACCACCTTCTTTAAAAAATGCTCATGTATTGAGGCCTGCGCAGGTCCCAACCTGTCTGTGGTTCGGGGTTGCTATCTGCCTCATAAAGCGAAGTAGAGGGTTTGTCTTTCTGGGAAGACAAAGTCGTCTTCTCCTCTGAGAAAGCCTCCTACATCGTTGGCTTTGGCATCTTCCAGGAATGGGAGGGCAGCGATGGAGGCCTGGTGAGGTTGGGTTTTCAGCTGAGGTAGAGAGAGCCGACAGTGCTTAGAGCCAGAACATCCAGAGTGGGGTGTAGTTACCTCCGGATCACGTCGCTGCTCACCCAGCCTGGGCTTCGCGACAGTCATGGAAGTGAGTTCCTTAATAATAAAGTAATGCAGTTTAAGAAACGCTCATGTACACCAAATTTTATACGTACTGCCAGACCCACTGCATTGCAGTTATGCCCAGCTTCACAACCCCTTTATCAGGTAGTTCTAGAAGTTCATAGATTCAGTGGCAAGTATTGGGTTGCGCACAAAGGGAAATGAAATGTCCATTTCTGGCATCTTTATCAGCAGTCAATTAACTTTGAATCTCTGAAGTATGTGGAAACTGGAAATCTGTTCATTTTTGTTTTGTTTTAGAATATCACCGTGTTTGGTATATAAGGCTGTCTGAACATAGAAATGTCCCAGACTTAGGAATAAACTTGTCTAAACAGTATTGGCTACATTAAGCAAATACATTATGTTGATTCATAGAAGAGTAACAACCGTGGGCCTTTTGCCTTGAAGGAGAGGTGCTTCAAAGCAGCTGTAAACTGATCTCTGTGTTGTTGCAGGTCTCGGAGGAACGTGTGTGAACGTGGGTTGCATACCGAAGAAGCTGATGCACCAGGCGGCTTTGTTGGGACAAGCCCTGCAAGACTCCCGAAACTATGGCTGGGCTGTCGAGGAAACCGGTATGGAGGGATAGCTCTTCTTCTGTTTCCGCTTTTTGGGGTTTGAGCTGTGATCTGGCAATGCTCCATCCATTTTTACGAGACGAACAGTAATCTGGTAGTTGTTTTTGTTTACATTTTTAATGGATAAAAATCACTGCAGTTATCCGTGTAGGGTAGCTCCATCGCTATTAGGGTAAGGACAGACATTGCACTTGGAGTGTCTGTTTTAATAGAAAACCAGAATTCTTTCAAATAAATTACCATAATTACAGAGAGTTTCCTAAGGGAGTACGAGTTACATTTGCTTTCCTTTGAAGCTGTTGCATTTTTCTCGCGCTCCAAAGAAGTCTGTTTCATGAGCCGATACTTTGCGGGTAGAGGGATGGTTTGTTTGTTGAGAAGGGGTTGGTTAGTGCTTGTTGGATTAACAATATTTAGAGTACCCTAGAAACCCAAGAAGAGTTGAGGAGGAATTTGTTGACTTTAGAAACTAGATTGCATTATCTAGTAGAAGAATAATAGGCCTGGCACAGCTCCATGGCTAATTAATAAGCTAGGTCACTGTGTCCTTGAAGGAACTCCAACCCCTACTTGATTTTAGTTTTGAGACCTATGAGGTAAGGGAAACTTGAGGGGAAATCTTCCAGCCAGTAGGTAGGGTATATTATTTTGTGGCTTTTTCTGAGTTTAAATTAATAACTTACTAATATTTTTTTAAAGCAAGGCATAAATACATTCTTGGAAAATTTTATTTCCACTCAAACTAGTCATGCTTCCTTTGCTGATGTTCTTCCTTCCCATTTAAAATGAACGCTACCTTTTTTCTAAGTCTGAATCTTAAAAGATCATTTACTTTAAAATTTCTCCTTTGTTGGGGCCTTATCTCTTTCCTCAGACCCTTACAAGGCTGCTTTCTGTCCATGACCTTTTGGGGGCCTGAGGCAGGAACTGAGAGTTTCATTATTTGGTTCCGAGATGCCATGCCCCATGTCCTTTCCTCTTGCCCAACATAAAGGGCAGTTGAGCAGACTCTCTGGACATGAATTTATGAATTCATATGGGACATGAATTTGACACGTAATCTACTGATAGCCCATCTCTATTTCCTCCTCTACCCCCACTCCAAGTTATTATTTACTCACGTGTCTGAATGCCTACCAGCTGAGTCTACCATTTACACACCCTCCCCCTTCCTGGAAGCCTACTCTTCATGGGTCTGCCCAACAACAGGGTCTCCCTTCTGCTAATTTATGAGGCTTCTTAGTAGACATTTTAGAAATCCTACTGATGAAGTTACATAATATTACTATTAGTGTGCCCACTATTTGCATTTGAGTCTGTGCTGGAGCGCAATACAGAGATAAATAATACAAATCATGTAGGCACATGGATTCTGTTAATCGTTGATGTACTTACTGATTCATTGATGTGTAAACCAAGTACCCTGGGAGCCTAGAGGTGGAATAGGAAAAATGTGATGGGAGATGATTTCTCAGATGCTGTGGCCTTGACAATGAGCGGGGTGGGGGGGTGGGGAGGGTGGTGGCTGGAGAGGTCACTTCATCTAGGCAGTGAAAAGAAAATGAATAAGGTACACATTTGAAGAAGAGCAAATACCCTGGTGTGTGCAGAGCCTGGGTGTGCAGAACACGTGTGAGGACTGGTGGTGTGGGCTGAACACCCTAGGTGGTTTGGGAGAGAGGTCGTAGGAGGGATGTGTTGATGAGCTTAGCAAGTGGCACAGCTTTGCTGAGGGCAAGATGGAACACATGCTTATAGATACCTCCTTTCATGGCTCTGGGAGTAGCAGAAAGAAAATGGGGAGAGATGGCGAAGACCATGGCTGTAGCAGAGAGGGTGTTCCCATCTTCCCCCTTCCCCGCCTTGATCTTCCCCCACGCCCCAGCATTCTATGGCTTCATTGAGGTCCCGCAGGTCAGGATTGATCATTTGCTCTCTAGTTCATCTCTAGTCCAGTGCATATTTAACCCTACTATCCCTGGAGGGAGGTCCTGTTGTTCCCATTTGTCAGACAAGGAAACAAGCTAGGAAGTGAAGTAGTTTGCTCATGTCATAGCTAAGAAGTCAGTGGTGGCACTAGGATTTATTTAGACAGGTATTTCTGACCTTAGAGCATATGGAGTTGACACCAAAAGCACATTTTTAAAGCCCCGATGTCTCCAGTGGCAACTCCTTTGTGGGACCAGAGCTTCAGGCGCTATTCTAGGGGCCAGCACATTGAGAGCTTTGGACGTGGCTGTGAGCGCACCCCCCTTACCACACTCTCCCCAGGAGGGGTGAGTGCTACATGTAACCTGTAGGTCACACTCCAATATTTCTCCTGTGCCTTTGGGAGGAAAACCTAGGAACTGCCCGTTTTCTTTTCTAACCACACCCATAACATCTGTGATTCTCCCTTCTCCCCCAAATTATTCCACACATACTCGACCAGTATTCTCAGTGGGACTTCTTTCCCAAGGGTACGTAGAGTTAAGATCTTTTCTTCACCCCAGCCTCCTGACCCATTAAAGTGTAGGTGATTGTAGTACATAGACCTGGGCACAAATTCTGACTTGGTCATTTACTACCTGTGTGAATGAAATACAATAGTGTGATATAAACACCTGCCACTCAACGTATGTTAGTTTCTGTCCTTTCCACCCAGACTCACTTCTTTTAATTCTTTCATCAGAGTTTCAGTAAATTGCAGTAGCTTCAGCCGAGTACTTTTCTTGGTTCTTTGTTTAATGGGTTGTAAAAAAACAGTTACTGATGTTATGGAAAGTTTAGGTTTGTACCAAATTTAGTGCCCTCTTAAAGAGGACATTTAACAAGAATATTAATCTGGAGAAGTCTAGAATTTGTTAGAAAAGGTAAGGTCCCAAGCAAATTTTGATTTATGTACCTTTATAGTTTACATTCACTGTATTCTTCAGACTCAGTGCCACTGGCCCTTACATCGAGGTAAATAAGAGTGCTGGGGAGGTATATCTTAGAGTCATAACATTTTTATTCATTGTTAAAGGGGCTGGTACTCAAATTGGTATGTTCTACAAGTCGATGTTTGCTTTAAACTATCAACTCTTATGCAAAATGAAGTCAGTGGAACAGATTGCTTAATTTGGCTAGAAATGTAGTACACACACACACGCCCACACACGTGTGTGTGTGTGGGGGCGTGTGTATGTGTATATATAGAGAGAGGTCTTTAGAATCTTAAAAAGGTAAGACATAAGTACAGACCTCTGCTAAATGTGAACTTTATTAACAGGCCAATTAAGTATGATTCCAATAAATTCAATAATCGTGTGGTAGAATAATACTTGGTGAGTTGAGAAATCTTTCCAGTAAAGGAGTATTTCTGCAGTTGCCATGTAATAATAATAAGCACTGGTATACTTAATTATGTTGAATTTATTTCTGAATTATGTAATAAAGAACTGATAAATGTACAGCGACTGAGGTAATAAACAGCCACTACCACCACAGTCCACATCTGAACATTAGAACCAGTGGAAGCTTCCCGAATTTTCTGGGGTTTTTAAACATGAGCCAAATCAAAGTTGTTTTATTTGTCTATTATTACACATATCATTTATCCAACTAATTTAAGATTTACCTCTTTTCTGTTTCTTTCCCTTTTCCAGATTTTAAAGCATTATAGAAATAGTTTTCTATTTTTACACCTTCCACCTCTTGATTTTTCGGTAGCAATCCCCAAATCTTTGATGAGAGCTGTTGAAGAATCACATGTGCCCTCTAGTTAGACCCCTTCAGCCTTCCCAAATGGAAGCCTGGTGGTTTTCTTGTTGTCATCTTCAGCTTTCTCCATGAAGCCTGGGGCTTTCCGAAGGAAGCAGTGGCCTCGCAGTGAGAACCAGACCTGGGTTTCGTGTGAGCGGCCCGCCTTCCTGCCAGGGTGATCCGCACTGAGAGAGCAGTGATGACCTCCCCCCTTTTGGTGCTAAAATGATGGTGGTGAAGAAGCAGTGGATTCAGACAAGTGTTTATGCATTAGATCTTAGAGGGAGAAAGAAACTCGGAGGGACATTTTTCAAGGGAGAAACCTCCAGAGGCTGCTGAGCCATATTCCCAACAGATAACAGCATGAAGACTTATTTTGCGTTTTTCAAACAGAAACGCAGCTCATCTCATGTCCTTGACCAGAGAGCAGTGTTCATGTTTTCTGGGAAGACTGGCTCTCTGACACTGAGAATAGCTCTGAGCGTGTTGAGGGAGGAAAGGGACCTGGGCCAGGCAGCACAGCTGAAGCTTCCTGGTGATGAGGGAGTGACATGTCTGGGACTCAGCCTGTGATCTGCCCTTTCCTTAGAGCTGCAAATGGAGAATGTACAGAGAAAGTCTCAAGCCTTAAAAAAAAAAAAAAATTACTTGAGCTCAGCTATGTAAACTGGATGCATTGGTCCTTCCTGGAAGATTTTTAGGCTTTATATTTTTCAGATTTCTCTATTTGAGTTTTCCTATGCTCAAGAATTAAATGTACCTTTAAAATATTAAGTATCTGGGAAGTTTCAGGATCCCGTTGTCATTACAAAGAAATCAAGATCATTGGTTTGCAGTTGAGGGCTTGCAGTTTTGGGGTGTATTCTCCTACCACATCCTTGACATTTCACGTACATTGTGTGTGTGTGTCAGCCACTGAGTGAGCGTGTGGTCCTGGGCAGCTCATCCAGCCTTCATTTCCCTGCGTATTCCTTGGAAGGAGTTCGTGCCCCTTCAGGTGCTTTGAGGTTCATGTGAGAAGGTGCGCGGAAGATGTTAAAGCTAACTGGGTCGTTCTGCTAGCTGGTTACTGTTGTCGAAGGGTGTAGTCTGGTGCTCTGTAATGGGACGGGGTCAGATCAGGAGCGACAGAGATGGCTTAGGATCCAGCTGCTGGGGTCGGCCTAAAGGCACACCCAAGTGAAACACAAATCCTGCCTGGCCAGCTAGAGGCTGCCACTTCTTTTAATAGTGGTGGTAGACGGGTGCCAGACCCATAGGCTGCTCCCAGGGGCTTAGCATTGAATTACAGCTGGTAGACCAGGCCAGTGGAATCAGGAGGCCTTGGAGAAACGCCGGGGCTGTGCCAGCAGATGGGCTGAGTGCGGGCATGTGGAGTATCCAGGTGACATTCGGGAATTCAGGAAGGTGGTGGATTGGGGGATTATCTATCGGAAGGCAGGGCAACCTGAGAGAACTGGGGTTCTGGGCATGTTACTACCCACAGTAGTTACCACCGGTAGTATATAAAGTAGGAATTTGGATTTTGCAAGACCAGGAACTCGGCTGTCAGAATGGAATGCAAGGTCAGGTCCATAGGAGCATATG